GCTGCCCATGGCGGGGCCACCCTCAGCCGTGCCTCCTCCCCGCTATCACACGCACATGCGAATGAGCGCCTCGCCATGCTAGGCTACATATGCAAGGGAAGGGGAGGGAAAACACAACTGGGGGGATTATATTGGCTCCGTTACAGCTCTTACACACCATAAGACAGCACACACAAACACAAATCCTGCATCCTCGAAGTGTGTGGGAGGAGGGATGCAGCAGAGTGGATGACGGGGGGAGGTTTAAGGAGATCAAAAAGAGGAGAAAAGAAAAGAGGGGAGGAGGGGAGGAGAGGCAGGTGGGCGGAGGGATGACTCACTGCTGATGCCGGGCCCAAGACGAAGACAGACACTTAACAAAACTTTCAACACGCTGGGAGGGAACATGGGAGGGGAGGAGTGAGGGATACGATGATTAGTAGCAACAAGACGTTTGTGGGGTTTCTGACGGGTACATTCATCATCAGGGCCGTGATACACAGGCAACAGTGTGAAGCAGCACAGGAAACAGGAAGCTGAATCATTTCCAAAATGCTGTCCATTCACAAAAACAACAAAGAGGGTAAACAATATATCTGGCTTTAATGTTATTATCCGTTCATCAAACAAGGACTAAGGATACCTGCTTCTCTTGGGAAAGACTTTTAAAAAATCTATCATTTCATCTTTTTATAATTCCATGGACAAGGTTGGGAAGGTTATTTCATAGCATCTTGATTCCTTTTGATTACTTTATAAATAAATGTTGAAAACAAACTAGGAGAGCAACCCCTTTAAAAACTGAATTATAGAAGTGTTGCTGTTACTGTGGCATTTGGTTTTTAGGGAGAGGTGTGGATAAAACAAAAACTATTACTACTGTACAGTACAGGCCCAATGTCGCACACAGCACAGGGGCCTTCAAGGGAAGATTTGCTGATTTTCCACCAGCTTTTTACCATTACAATAAAATATACAAATGAACAGTGTTTAACTAACTCCATTTTGCCTGCACCCAGAGCTACCCGCTCATTTACCGGCTCATTTGCCTCTCTCGACCTTACAGTCTGTGGGTCTAGGGCTGTTGTTCGAGCTACAGGTTGTAATAACAGCATTTTTTGTATGCCTGCCTCAACGGAGAGTCGGATTGAGAGCAAGCAGCCAGGAAGAGCAGGAAGAGGAATTTTACATAATGGTTTAACCGTGTAATTACAGCAGTGCCGTCTGTCACGTGATACACACTGGGCCACAAAGACTAATTTCACTATCAGAATTTGATCCATCCAGTCCGATAAGTCTAGAAGATATTCAACCAGTCAATGCCCATTCAAATTAACAGAAGTTCAGTCACAGTGGCCCATAGAGCGTGTGCCGTTCTCCTCCAGGTACTTTCTTTGCAATGGGAAGTGGCTTTTTTGGCTCGAGCAGCCACTGAGCAGCTTTCATAGGAATGAATGGAGGACTGCCTCCAAACATTATTCATTTGTATATACCACCCATAATCTAATGATACAAAGCTGGCTAAAAATTGGCAAAAGTTTCCCTTAGATGGCAACAGCTAATTTAAGAAAAATGTCTGTTCAGAATGATGTGTGATCAGTATGTAAGTTTGTAGAAATTATCTGTGAAGCAACAGAACATCAAATGTTTTCAGAACGACAGCAGTGTATTTTACTGCTCCAGTAATAATAGCCGCATGACGAGTCAGCACAGATTTGAGTGAATAAAATATGTTCAAATGTATTTCATTTATGTATTTATTCTACATGTGCACAGCATTTGAGTCAAAACTGATATTGTATTGCAATTCATGTTATTCATTTATTTAAACTGTGTACAGAAAACAGAAAAAAGTTTAGACCATGTTTCCCAGCCCTACTCAAGACTGTCGTAACTATCATTTTAGCAATTTTTTTTATAAATGTCCTCCACAATCACATGTATTCTGTAAAAAAAAAACACCATGTTTTACTACATTACTTCCCAACCCTGTTCATGAAAAACTGTATTTGAAAAAAATATAACAATATGATAAGGAATGTTGATATTATTATAATTAATAAGTATTGCTTACAACTTTTGCCCATGTACCATGACCTACATTCACACCTATTATACACACAATCGGAGGTAAACTGTATATGCATAGAGATTTATACTTCAGCTGTATAGATATTCTCCACCCCCCTCTCCTACGTTCTTGCTAAAACAAATGTTACAAAAACGTAATCCTGTACGACTATCATGGGGTGTAAATACTACAGTATGTTTTAGGTGTTTTAGCTTTTGGATTTTCTAAGCTGTTTGTATTTTGAGGGGAAGCTTTGGGGTTGAATGTTCAACATTTTGTGGAAAGAAACCGACGACATAATAGAGACTTTTTAAAAGTGCCGAGTGCAGTCGGAAAGCTTCTGTGGTTTCTGTAACATTAACCAAACAGGGACTGTCTGTTTCCACGGTGATCATGGTACAATCAAAATGGCTGCCTTGGAGTTTTGACGCTGTTGCCATGGAAGTGAGAATTTAATTTCTTAGGTGTGTACATAATGATACATGCAGATACAAGAAACCAGACCTCTTAAAGCCGGGTTCAGATTGGATTCCATTTGAATCCATTCAGTTCAGAAAAGATAATTAAACTTAAAACAC